TGGCCTACGGTCACTACCAGTAGCCTGGTCTCGGTCTATGGTCACTACCAGTAGCCTGGTCTTGGTCTATGGACACTACCTGTAGCCTGGTCTCGGTCTATAGTCACTAACTATGGTCTGGTATAGGTTAATGGTCACGACCTGTAGCCTGGTCTCGGTCTATGGACACTACCTGTAGCCTGGTCTCGGTCTATGGTCACTAACTGTAGCCTGGTCTTGGTCAACGGTCACTAGCTATAGCCCAGTCTTGGTTGGAGTGCATTTGCCTTTGAGAGTGTTTGTTAGTGGAAACCCTGAAGTGATTAAAGACATGCAGTTTCTTTGTGTTGTTGTTCCAGGTACTACTGGCAGAAAGAGAAGTTGAAACCCTATGTTGAGTTTATGGAGAAAAATTATCCTCCTGGATTTACTTACGCAGACTTTGCCCCCATGTTCTCTACTTCCTTCTTTGATGCAACCGAATGGGCTGAACTACTGAGTGCCTCAGGGGCCAAGTATGTAGTTCTGACCTCTAAACACCATGAAGGTAATACACTGCTCAGAACTTGAAAGGAATAAATTAGATACTGAAGGTGCAAGCATGAGGTGGGCTTCCGGTCATTGAGAATGATTGCGGTGTGGGTATCTTTATTCTCAGTCCTCCATCTCCAAGTCAAAGTTATTTTTCAATTTGTCGGTGGGAACATCTTGATAAATGACTGAAAGTTTGAAGGGTTATGGAGTACTGTCCGACCACCCTCCGCTTCCCACTCATTAACTCTTCATTGCCTCTTCCTGCAGTTTAAAAGCGACTCCAATGCCATTTGTTCACTGCTGACACTCTTTCCCCCAAATCCCACACTCTCTTCGCTTCCTGAGGTAGAGCTGTGATCAATGGTTATTGCTGGCGGGGGAGAGAGTGGACAGGAGAGTGGAGCTGATGTCACAATCAGACCATCTGTGGTTGTACCAAAGAACAGAATTCAAGGGGCTGAATAGCCTGATGTTCCTCTTGATTCTTCTGTACTCTGGCCCTCTCCTCCTTCCTCCTCCTCATCCACTGAAGTGACAGTTCCAGCCTCTCCCCAACTCCATTCTTTCTCAATGATATCTTGTGCCGCCATCTGCTCTGTTGTCATCCATTTCACTGCCGCACATTTCTCTCTCCATTTGTTTGCAACTCCATCGCCCACTCAATCTTGTTAGTAGCTGAGTCCGGCTGTAACTGAAGCCCCACTGTTTAGATCTAGAATTGTAGAAACTATTGACAGGATCTCATATTCCCCTCAAGAATTTCCATCTGCATCAAGGAGTGATTGCAATCCACTAATTATTATAGAGAGTGGCCCTGAGATGCTAGATGAATTCAGAGCCCAGCTGTCAGTGCGAAAAGATCATTGTTGATAGGTACACGATGCTAGAATACAAAAGCAAGGTGTGTTTCTTTTGTCAGGACTTTTGAAGATGAGCACGACATAAAATTTTATTTATTGCAAAAGTTTATTAGGACTAATCTTTCTTCATATACATATTGGTTGATTCCTCATGTGCATGAGTTTGCTTGTTTAATTTACTTAGAACTAAACGGAAGGAAGGAAGTGTGACATTTTCTCCATCTCTAGTGAATGAATGTGAACCCATCACAACCAAATACTACTGATCACAATTTGCCCACTATGTTCTCAAATCCCCTTCAATAATCTTCCTTCAGCTTGCTTTTCACCTTGAATACTGACATTGTTGTCACTTCAACCACTAAGACTCAGGAACACTACATCCTCACAAACTGTTGGTGGAGAAATTCCTCCTGCTAAATAAAAACCAAAAGAACTGCGGATGCTGTAAATCAGGAACAAAAACAAAGTTGCTGGAAATGCCCAGCAGGTCTGGCAGCATCTGTGAAGAAAAAATCAGCTCTGAGGAAGGGTCACTGGACCCAAAACGTTAACTCTGTTTTTTCCTTCATAGATGCTGCCAGACCTGCTGGGCTTTCCCAGCAACTTTGTTTTAATTCCTCCTGCCCTCTGTTTAAAGCTCACGATTAATCCATAAGCCCCTTTCATTGTTTCTCAACTATTTATTCACCCACTTTGGGCAAACTCAGTTTGCCTTTATAAAAAGATTCACTGAGCATGATCCTGATTCTCCGTGTGAAAATGTTGCAAATAGGTCTGGCGTCATGGAGAATGAGTTAACATTTCATTCAGACCATCATGTTTATATGATTTGTTTAGGCTTTACGCTATGGGGATCAAAGTACTCATGGAATTGGAATGCGGTTGACTCAGGTCCTCACCGTGACCTTGTTGGAGAGCTGGCCCATGCTGTCAGAAACCGGACAAAGCTGAGATTTGGCCTGTACCATTCCCTCTTCGAATGGTTTAACCCGGACTTCCTGGAAGATGCTGCCAATGTGTTCACAACCAACAAGTTCCCCACAACCAAAAGCTTACCTGAGCTGTACGAAATTGTGAACAAATATCAGCCAGAAATCCTCTGGTCTGATGGAGATGGTAATGCACCCGACACCTACTGGAACAGCACTGGCTTCCTGAATTGGCTGTATAACCACAGGTACGGAGCTGTATGTGTGCAGGTGAGCCACTAACCAACCTCACCATAATTTCTATTCGTTCACGGGAATGTGGGCATTGTTAAAAAAGTCAGCATTTATTTGCCCTTTCCTAATTGCTCCAGAGGGTAGTTAAGAGTCACACACATTGCTGTGGGTCTGCAGTCCTCTGTAAGCCAGACTAGGTAAGGACAGCAGTTTCCTTCCCTAAAGAACATTAATGAACCAGATGTTTTTTTTTCCCAACTGGACACAATGGTTTCGTGCTAATTGTTCAACTTTAAATTCCAGATATTTTTTAAATTCAAATTTTACCATCTGCCATGTTGGGATTTGAATATAGGTTCCCAGAACATTATTGGGGTCTCTGGATTAATAGTCTAGTGATAATACCATAAGTACGCAAAGGCTGGAAGGTAAAAGAAATGGAAACACTTCTCCCCAACTAATTCCACTCCCTTCGCACCTCCGACTCCACTCATTTCCGACCCGATCCCACCCTCAATCCCATTGCTGTCCTGTTGTAGATCGCCAGAACTGCCGATGCTGGAGTCAGAGATGACACGCTGTGGAGCTGGAGGAACACAGCAGACCAGGCAGCATCAGAGAAGCAGGAAAGTTGACGCTTTGTGTCTTCAGAGTGTTCCTCCAGCTCCACACTGTGTTGTCTCTACCTTCCTGTTGTGCCTTGTTTTGATTCTGCTGTCACAGTTTGGAAATATATCACCGTTCTTTCACTGTTGCTGGGTCAAAATCCTGGGCCTCCCTCCCTAAAGGCTTTCTGGGTGTGACTATTGCTGCATAAACACAGGTCCCCTTGCTCTCTGGGTGAAGAATTCTGTCTATAAAATGTCTGATACATACTCAACCTCAGCCCCAACAGTCAAACACAGCCCCCCCCCCCTCCCCGTTTAACACACGCCCTCCCCCCCCCCCCCCCTGCTGTCAAACACAGCCCCCCCACTGTCAAACACAGGCCCCCTGCTGTCAAACACAGCCCCCTGCTGTCAAACACAGCCCCCCGCTGTCAAACACAGCCCCCCCC